GAGGGAGTCCTAATAAGCACCCAACAAACATACGTCTGTTTGAGAATTCTTTGAATTGGCGAGTATGAGCCTGTTTATCTGGTATATGTAGAACTTTATTCATTTTTTTGCTAACCTACCTGATAGAAGTTCAACGTCAGGACATTTTAAACCTAGATCCCCCTTTCGCCTCATGGTTACAAGCATTTGACAAAATATTTTTTTGGCCTGGGAGCTCTGCCTTATAAGGCTGTTCATTGATTTGAATTCTTACCTTCGACCTGACTTCATACTTCCCGCCTCTTTTTGAAGCATCATGTCATTATTTTCTACAAATGCAATTAGTGTGCTTTGTATATGAGAGAATCCAATCATATACCATATACATAAAGATATGAAAAAAAATCTGAACAGTTTGTTTTGTACAAATGTAGACTGCGAAGTTGAATAACGTACTTGGAGAGTGTTGAGGGAGTTTGCTTGCTGATGAGTAATTCATCCCCAGCATTGGATATGGTGTGCCCTGGCTTTAGATTTCTTTTAGAAATGTGCAACACAAGCATGCTATCATTTTTTAATGCCTACAATGCCTCAACACTTCATCTTTTATTGTTCAAGCCAGCTTACCTGGCTTGTGAACAGCACTCCATAGTCATCTCAAAACCATTGAAACATACCCCAACAGTTTGCTTTCCTTTCCTTCTCCTTTTTTTGTGTGGAAGGGGTGGACGTATATCTTTCTTCCAGTAGCATACTGCAATGTTGATTCTGAAACATAGTATGTGGGTGTCTTAGTTGATTGTTCATATTAAAGTGCTACTTTAACTTTCAGTAATTACCAGGAGGCTGCCTTCTGTAAGGGTCAATACATGTGCCAAAAAAAAAAGTAATGAAATCAAGTAACAATCTTCGTGGACTTACCATGAACTATCCCCAAGCCCCTATGCCTGTACATCTGTGTTCTGGCTCACAGTTCATGGTTTCACAATTTTGTGGGGGCCCTGGGTTGCTTCCATCACTTACACTACAATATGGTTGTTAAAACTAGAAATAGTTTAAGGGGCAATATGCTTTAGAATTGAATGTGGAATCCCATAGTTGGCAGTGATTGTGGAAGCAGTTTTGGTAAGGCGGACATGGCTTCCCACAAATTGGAGGGGAAGAGGCAGCTACTTCTGTTTCCCTGTCTATTTCTTGAAGTGGCATTGACAAGTATATGATCAGAAATATTGCTTTGTTATGATTTCTTCTTTTCAGATGAAGGTTCACATGAGATCTCTGTGTGCTTGTTTACAGTGTTTAGTAGTCCAGTGACCCTTAAAGCAAACACTTAAAATGTATCGGACTAGAATCGTCGTGAGTATGTGAGAATTAGAATCATTTATGCACTTGACTTCTCTCTTTGTTCCGCTCTTTAAGATGTGCATGCATGTGGATTATGTCTCAATACAGATGGAAGAAAACTTGAAAGAAAGAAAGAGAAAAGGAGTTTTAGTTGCATTATTGTCATGTGAAATCACTGGTTTCTGTTTCTGACATGCTTTTACACCTTTTTAAACATTTATTTTTTTGATCTCGTGTGTTTGCACCAATACAGGTTGCAGCTTTGCTATATTTTTTCAAGCTGATTGCGTCATGTTTCTTGACTATAGCGTTGGGTGTANTGATCTCGTGTGTTTGCACCAATACAGGTTGCAGCTTCGCTATATTTTTTCAAGCTGATTGCGTCATGTTTCTTGACTATAGCGTTGGGTGTAGGTATGAGATAGTTACCATTCCTGAGATGCTTAATGTTTTCATTTTTTTGTCTGACCCGACTTGAAATGAATACAGCACTAGTCTTAGCATTTGCATCATTATTCGTCTATGAGCAATACGAGGAGGAAATTGATGGAATAGCAACATTTCTTTTCAAAAGTGTGAGGAAAGCTCTGGGGTTGTTGATGAAGAATCTACCAATGCCCGTGGCCTCGTTTCTTTGTAGCTCTGGAATGTTGCAAAAGAAACGGCTTACAACCGTCAAGGATCAGCAATGATTAGCCCATGACTTGACTCACTTGTGTTTCCCCCTTTTGTCGGTTCAGCTGTAGATATTTGAATTTTCTACCTCCACCAGTTCTTGTACAAGCTATATAGAGGAGGAGGTTTTTTTTATTTTGTTTTTTGTGGGGTGGTGGGGGGCGGGCGCAGGCTAATATACTAAGAAGTTCCTTTCCCTAGTTTTAGTTTTAGTTTTAGCACTTGCATCACCCTTGTCCAATGCCTTCGCCTTCCATCCAACATTTACAGTTATGAAGCTTTGCTACCTCAATATTGTTCAATCTTTTTACAAAGTAGACTTATCTCTGTACTGATCTAGCAATCTTTGATCTCCTCTCATTAAGGATGCTTGACGAGTGGGCTGTAGACAAATCTAACGACCAGTACTACGTTGGCCCAAAAGCAACCTAAGAGAGAGAAAGGGGGTAGGGGATGGGATTAGGTTGTTTAATTTTTTTTTTTTTAGGTCAGTAGGTTGTTTGATTGACTAACTTTGATTTTTTTTTTTTATCAATAATGCAGTATAAAATAATTATGTGATGAAGATGATAATGTGTATGTGACAAGTAATGTAATTATGGATGATGCAAGTAAGTAGAGAAGAAGAAAGATAAACAAGATTTGTAGAGGTGGTCTAACCAAGATGACCTACGTAGCATCTCTTTCATTATATTCATTTCCTTTAACGCGTGAAACATTGAACCTCTTATACCATTCGTTTTTTTTTTCTTTCTATGGGGACATACTTCTATAATTTTAAGCTCAACCAATAAAAGAATTTCCTTCTCTTTACAACAAATAATTACTCAAATAAATTCAATAAGAGAGAAAATCACAATAGGCCTTGTAGCCAAATTTCACAATAATGATATTTCTTCACTATGTATGTAACATTTTGAATGCTCAAGAAATTTCCAAAGATTCTCCCCGAAAGTTTTACTTCTTCAAGCCATACAATTCCCTTTTATATAAGCCTTTGCACAAGAAAGATATGCCAAAAAACTAGCTATTAGAAACTTCAACGGTCCTGTCTGGATGTTGGGGGCTATGGTTCGGTCATCCAGTAAAACATTCTGTCCAAAATAGCAAACAAATATTTTCCTTTATCGAAATTCCGATTTGGCTCACCGGAATCCTCCTCCGAAAGTCTGGATCCCTTATTCGGCAGTTTGGTGCTATGCATTGCCTTCAATTTTCGGGCCTATTTTGACCCCCAAAATGTTTCTCTATTTTCAGTCAAAATTGTAGCTCTTAAAGTCTAGCTTTTAATCTGTTTAAATCAAGTCATTTGGACATTAAAGTAAAAATTTATTGCCAAATTATCGAGCATATGTCTAACTCTCCTGATTGTCAGTATATATGTATTACATTCAACTTCCATGCCTTTTTTCATCCTGAAAAACGTTCGAATTTGAAATTTTCTATTTCAGAAAATTAGACATCTAAGATCTAATATGAAAGTCAATTAGACGTCTGAGATGAAAGTCATTCTCATAATATGGAGTCTATGTCAAATTGATTGATTTAAACACTTCCTCCTTGGCTTGCTTCTCCCACTTCTTTGATGTAATCCTTCAACTCTTCTTCTCAAGCAACATAATTTTCTTCCTAACTTGTTCAACAATCATATAAGTGAGATCATTAACCTCTCACATTCTTCACTTATAACAATCAAATCGACGAGGTTGTTGCATAAGCTTCTTATGTTCATTCCCTTCAATTTTTTTTCATTTTTAATCAACTGATTTAATAATGCTCATTGTCTTCATTTTTTGCATCTTCAACCATCCAATTTAGCATACGACCTATTACATATCTTCCCCTTGGTTCTTTATATTTGATGTACCACATTAGCCATTCAACCACTTCTTTGTGTCAAACCTATGCGCAACACTTTACAACAAAACTCACACGAAGATAATTAGTAAAACAATAGTGTTTGTTTCCGTCAAAACATTGTTTAGCCAAGTATAAGGTCAACATACTATTTACACAACGGTTCCTCTTATATTTGAATTCATAACTTTGTAGGTGATGGTTCTATGTTTTTATTATCAGATTAGGCAATCCCCCCACCCCACCCCGGCAAAATGAAATGATAAAATTTTTATTAATAAGGAATTTTTGAAATTAGGAGAGGCATGACAATTGGGTGACTGTCCCTTCCCTCAAGAAAGCCTTAATCTATAGTCCGCCTTCCCTCAAGAATGCCATCTAATTTGTCATTGCATTCTCAATGGTCCCTTTGAGGCATACCTCTAGATGCCATGTGGGTTCCCCCCTCAAAATCTGATCGTAAACTACTCTTAACCAATTTGGAAAACAAACACCGACGGAAAAATTGTTATCTATTTCCTCTCTAGCTTTGCATCGGATCCATATCAACATCATTAATCTCTCAATATTAATAATCTACTATATGCTTGTGTGGGACTTGTTATGTTTGTATGGGTTCTCCATCAATCTAGCATTGAGTAAATTGACATGGATTAGTATTGTAAGTGCACGGGGGTAATTCCAGTAATATCAAAGAGATATCGATGCCAAAGGTGAATCCAACAAGAAGCCCTTGAATGAGTTGAGCCGAGGGACTCTACCGTAAAAAAGAGAGTTAAAAGGAGGTCGGATGTGCATCTAACATGTCCCATTCGATACACGAGTCAATATACACGAGAGGAAATTGTTTCTAAGAGTTTTGATTCTTGATTGCTTACCTTGGATATGATGTCACTGGGCTATTTATACCTCAAGGTACTGGCTTGCGCTGATAACTGACGATCTGTCAGGAGGGAAATCCCCTAATTCGGTCTCACAAAGGGCAGATGGGGGTTAGCCCCTGCTAATTTTGGGGAAACATTTCTCGACCCACGCCTTGACTGTGCTTCGAGCTGCGTATTTACTATCCCTTAGGGGTCGGCAGCCTAGCATTCAATGTCTCGAGCATTAAATAATGACCGTCTCCCGGAGGACCGTTTACTCGGGGGAGTCTTTTAGCTAGTGATCGAAATCGGGTGTTAAATGACACTCCTATGAAGGCGCCACATGATTGATCCTACATGTCTGAGTATTGGACCTTTTGGACAGATTAAGGGAAGTCTATGGTACGGCCTGGTCTAACAGCAGTACCATACCAAAAGCCTGGTGGGACCTAGTCAGAGGAAAATACAATGGGGAAAAAAAAATAAAAAACGCGTAAGGGCAACCGGCTAAAAAGGTAACTTTAAGTTGAAAGTTTTCTTTGATCAATCATAATGTCACATGATCGATCGATAATTTCAGATGAGTTACAACAGGATGGATGAAGGTGAGAGACTTACTGGGTAACAGTGGGTATAACGACAATCAATCGGTATAATTACAATGGATCACAAATGTAAATATGTTAGATTTTCAAAATTTGTGTGATCGAACAAGTAATATGATTGATCATAATTTAAAATGATCGATCGATATTTTCAAATAAGTTATAACATATGGACGAAGGTGGGGGCTTGCTGGGGTGGATGAGTATAATTACGATCGATCATAATTGAAAAAATGTTCTATTTCAGAAGGAGTTAATGTTTTGTGATCAAACAAGTAAATTGTGATGGATAAGAGACTGAATGTTCTTTGATTGATCTACCATTACAAAAAATATAAATTACTTCCAAAAGAAATTGAATTATTAACCCATATTTTAAGGGTTGTGATCGATCCATAAAATTACGATTGATCAACACAAATTGTTCAATAAAAATACCTTAAATTTGATTCGAATGTTTTGTTATCGAGCAAATAAATTTTGATGGATAAGCGACTGAATGTTTTGTGATCGAACTAATAATGGATGATAGATCAAAAAAATATGATATTTTATTTGGAAAAAAATTCGAAATATTAACCCTTATTTTAAGGATTGTAATCGATTTATAAAATTATGATTGATCAACAGAAAGTGTTCAATAAAAATACCTTAAATTCGATCGAAAGTTTTGTGATCAAACAAGTAAATTGCAATGGATAAGAGACTGAATGTTTTGTGATCAATCTAATAATGGTAGATCGATCACAAAAAATATGATAATTTATTTTCAAAAAAATTAAAATATTAACCCTTATTTTAAGGATTGTAATCGATCCATAAAATTACAATTGATCAACAAAAATTGTTTAATAAAAATACCTTAAATTTGATTTGAATAAAAAATATGAAATTACAAAAAACACCTCAAGTGTGGAGGGGCATACTCATTAGCTATTGGTTATTTTTGTCATTTTGCACCTTAAGCGCTATCGGCACCCATTGCAGGTATATTTACCCCGACAATACTGAGTTCTCCCAAACCCTAACCCCCTTGCTTGAACAAGTTAAGGACAATACATCCCCAAATCGATTGTAAAACATATGGGTCCTTTGTACATTCAATCAAAGAAGCTATACATTCAATCAAAGAAGTTGTAGATCGACATAGCCGGAGGAACAACCGGAGCTACAAAAAAGAGGAGGGCAGTTAATGGCATGAATAAGCAAGTCATTACTGCCCAGAAGAAGAAGGATGGTGAAAAGGTAAGAGTTCGAAAGATGACACTGTTTTCCTGAACGAAGAAGTAAAAACATTGTTTGAAACCTATTTTTGTCATCAGCCATTGTTAGTGGAACGACGCGTTGCATTGGGTGAGTTAGGTAACACCAAGTGTCCTATGTTTTTTGGAGGTCATAATTGGGAGAACATCTTTGACGTTAAGAAGGATGATAAGACATATAACAACGTAGTTAGATTATTTTATGCAAATTTACATGACTTTGATAAGGTTGGGCACACTTTGAAGTCTGTAGTTAGGGGTAAATAAATAGAAGTTTTCCCTGATTTTATTTCAAAAATGTTGAAAGTTACCAGGCCTGTCATCACTGAGAATACCATTGTATTTCCTTACAAAAGTAAAGAGGAAGTCCCTAGCATAGAAACGATTATTGATATAATTTGTGATGTTGTTATCGATTGGGTCGATGAGA